AAAACGCGCACGAAAGGGGCCGGGGAGCTAGACTACGCCGCGCTCCAAAACCCTCGCGTAACTGGATAGAAAGCAAAGGCAAAAAATTTTTACTTTCATCACGCTGTAACTTTTTCAGACGCGACTTTCATAATCTACTTGAACGCTGGAAAAATAGAAGAGAATTTTCTTTATCTTATGAAAGCGGTTTCACGAAAAATTGAGCGTGGCAAACGGGACTTCTGATTTTTGAAGTTCGAAAAATGAGGTGTCAGTTATCGAGTGGGCTTGTATCCAGCTAAATACTAGCCCAAATACCTGAATTGCATTTTTTTGTAGACTCTCGGTTATAAACCACCCAGATAAAATCTAAACTTGAGGTTTTTGAGATTGACTTGACGGTTTCAATCGAAGTTTTCAGAAGTTTTCAACTGGCCAGAACTTTTTTCGACGACGGTTTTCGAATATAATTACGGCCTAGGGACATAGAACAGACTTCGCTCTATCTTTCGCACATATTTTTAGAAGATCCTAGCGTAGAAATTTAGCGAGCGGGACATGGAAGAGGGCAAATGAGCTTGCGATGTTTATTGGCCTATTCGGCCTGGACGGAAGGTGCTGGCTGGTTTTTTTTGGTTTTATGGCGTTACGGCAACCTATTATGAACGGTTGGAGCAAAAAGCAAAAAGAAAATGCAGACGGCTGTGGCCCCGGGAACCGAACCCGCATCCCCTGTCTGGGGGCTGGACCGCCGCCCTAGACCAGCCTCGCGTCAGGAAATAAAAAGTATGGATTCACATCAGGAGCCACGAATATGATCTCAAAAGCGATTTCAACCGATTGCGCGGGTTTCACCTTCGGTTATAGGTAAAAGCTGCCGAACCAAAAGATGTACTGGAGAATAATCTTGGACCAGGAGAAGACGACGCGCTGCCCGGTTTCCCCGTGGAAAAACTCGCCAGTCTCGTAGTAGCGGCCTAAAAGGGATAGTTATTTTTTTAACAGTCGCTTCGTTGCAGTGTCCTCAGCCCAAACGTCCGCCCTGACGCTCGCCTGGTGAAAAAGCAAGTAAACAAGTGAGGCCGTTGCTCCCAAGATCCTTCGGAGGTCAAAGGGCACTCCGTTATCACACCCCCGCACAAGCTCGGCCCCATTTTTTATCGGGGTTTCCCCCACAGCCCAGGGCCGCGAAGCCAGTGTTCCCCCAAGAAAAACTCGGCGATCCGCCTGGTTCTGAGTCTATTCGTTTTGCGTCAACTTTCGCAGCACTGTTTGCAAGTATTCACCGAGCATATCGTCCTTCTCCTTGTAGCGCGCGTACATCCAATCCCGCAGCGTCAGTCATCCTCGAATGGCACCTGGAAAAAGTGGTGGATAATTATTCGCCATCTGTTTGAGAATTGCTTGCCATCACGAAAAATTCCATTTTTATCTTTGTTTTTCTTTGCCTTTTAAAGCACCAAATTTCTCTTTTTCAGATGACCGTCGCCGAGATCGAGGAGCGCAAGGCGACGCGCACGAAGCGGAATCGCCATAGCAGTTTACGAGAGGTATAGCTTAGTTTTTGTAGTGTGGTGTGCTTTATTAAAAATTTGTTTGCAAAACTCTAACCTCTTCGGCATCGTATACTCGGTAGTGGACGCCAATATCGCACTTTTCACGTGTACCCATGGCTATCGTGGCCAGCGTCAGGGGAATTCCATGCGGATACGCGATCGTCACATCGAGGATGTACTTGATTGGCGGCCGGGTGTCTGCAAAAAAGGAGTTGAATAGATGTTATCTCTGAAAAAATGCGTCACGATCCCATGTCCTTTTTTGCTATTACATCATTATGGCCTGATAGCCTCTTATGAGCAGCTGGAAATCCTAGGCGCGTACCACGAAGTAATTAGTCTCCTCACCTCACCCCTCACCCGCATGTTCAGAAATTTTGGCCGCAAACAACAACCGAGGGTGCCCTCGCCGATCGATCAGTGTGCCTGTCCGCGTGTGTGTTCTGTGCCCTGCACGTTTTAGCCACAAAATCTCTGCCGCGTAGGAGCAGGTTGCGTGAAAATTAGCGAAAAAAACTGTCTGCGGAGGAGAGGGTGAAAATTTGCCCGTCTTTTCCTCGTAGTACATGCCAAACCTGCGAAAAGTCATAAGCTATTTTTTTATACTTTAGAAAATCTTGCAAATTATGAGATCCGGCTACCCGAACCCCTTTTTCAGTCAATGTCCGAGTTCGTCGAGTTCCTGGGCGTAAAATTCGCTCCACTGAACATCCCGCTCCGGCGGCGCCTGCAGACGTTCGCCGTCATGCACCACTTTTTCTTCACGCTCGGCTCGGTGGTGCTGGTGCTGGTGTTGCCGATTTATCTGGTAAAAATCGCTGGATTTCTCGCAACGTTTCCTCTAGGTATTCTCGGCGTACTGGTGGATCTTGGCGCTGTATGCGGCGTGGCTGTACTACGACTGGGATAGCCCGCGCCGGGGCGCCTACTGCCAAGAGTGGTGTCGCGATATGCGCATTCATAGGTGGTTCGCCGAATATTTCCCCGTCAAGCTACACAAGACGGCCGAGTTGGACGATTCGACAGTAAGCCTGAGCTTTTCGACTCTAAAAATATTCTGTTTCCAGAATTATCTGGTCGGCTCGCATCCACACGGCATCATCTCGATGGCTGCTTTTGTCAACTTTGGCTCGAACGCCACCGGAATCCGGCAGCTCTTCCCGAAGACGTTGTGAGTTGAATTGCGCTAATCCCGAAAAACTAGAAAAATCATATTTTCGAAATCCCATTTTTTTGGAACACCAAAATCTGAAAAAAATTGCGTCAAGCTACAAATGCGAAAAGACTACAATCAGCAAAAAATTGCGATGAAAAATTGTTTCAAAAAATGACTTTTTCATATCACTTTTTTAAACCCTCAGAAATATGCTTTTCCAAAAAAATGGAACGCTAGTTGCGCACGGCTGAAAATCTCTTCTAGCTTCCGCCTCTGCACGCTCGAGGGCCAGTTCTGGACGCCGATCCGGCGAGAATACGGGCTCCTCCACGGCTTCATCGGCTGCAGCAAGGAGAGCCTCAACTACGTGCTCAGGGGCGAGAAGAAAGGACAGGTATCAAATTCTTGGCCACTACCCTGACTTGCGAATTTGAGGCAGCCGTGCTGGTGGTGGGAGGAGCGGAAGAGGCCCTAGACGCGCACCCGGGACATCACATTTTGACGCTGAACAACAGGCAACTGGCGGCGTTCTTATTAAAGTGAAGCTTTTAGGAAGGGCTTCGTCCGTTTGGCCATTCAAAGCGGCGCCTCCCTCGTCTCCTGCTACTCGTTTGGCGAAATGACATCTACTCCCAGGCCGAAAACCCAAAGGTATCTGCGTTTTTTCGACTTCCAAAAATTCCACTAGGGCTCTCAAATTCGCGGCCTTCCAAACGTGGATGAAGCGTGTCTGGGGCTTCTCCCCGCCGTTCTTCCACTGGCCGCGGCGTCTTCCAACTACACACGTTTGGACTTTTTGCCATACCGGTAGGACGCCTTAGAAATTTGCGAAAATTTTACAAAATCGCGTATTAAAACCCCAATTTCAATTTTGAGCTTGCCCAAAACTGGTGATGGGTGCCCGATCAAAGTGGAAGAGCCTGAGAACCCGACGAGCGAAGAGATCGACAAGGTTTGGAAATACTTTCCGAATCTTACGATCCAACCTAGGTCCATGGCCAATACATCGCGGCGTTGAAGGAGATGTTTGAAGCCAACAAAACGAAATACGGGTGCAGCGAATCCACGCAGCTTGTCATCAATTAATTTTAAGTTTTTAATAATCGACCCCCTATGCCTGTGATACTTTGCCATATTACCTCCTGTGAATTTTCCTGTTGAATACGTTGTCATTTTAGACATTTTTAAAGTTGCTACACAATCCCCCGCCATTCCGACTTTGAGATTAGCGGATTAGTGGCGGATTTGCCCCCAGAGCCCTAGATCTCATCGACAGTGCCTTTGAACTATGTCAGATTCGATAATAAACGCATCACCTTTCACATATTTCTTCTCGCGGATCGCCCCGACGGTGTCCTTGATCAGCTTTAGCTTACTGTACGTGCGAGGACGCTTTGATTCATCGCCGTCCTCCTCACGCGGTCCGACCTGATGAAAGGGACAATCTCGACCGTCGGAATTTTGGGCCCACCTCTTCGAGAATTGCCTTGATGGCGCCCATCCTGGGCAGCGTCGTGTACTCGGTGTGCGGGAATCCATTTTCTGTCCGTATCGCTCTGAAAGCACCCTGTCCCCAGTGGGGTGCTCCAGAAAGCACCCCAGCCCCCTTAGGGGTGCTCCAAGAGCACCCTGGTGCTGAAGCACCCCAGGGGTGCCTTTGGGGTGCTCTGTGGGTGCTGTCTGGGGTGCTTTTTGCCAATGACCGCAATATATGAAATAGGCTATTTTGATCAAATCAGGAGATGAACATCATTTTCGAGCACTTCGCACAACTCGGCGCCAATTCGATTGCAACTCATTTGGGGGTCGTTTGGTAGCATTTCTTCGAGGTTGTTGAACACGGCGGACGATTTCGAGACGTTTTTTTCTAACCGTCCTAGCAGACTGGGCTAAGCTGTTCGAGAGCTGAAACTTGTTGAGCAGATAGAACTTTTTGCGCCCTTTCGAATGGTGCCCTTCGCGTTCCAGAATTCGCAGTGCAGATCGAGATATGATGGTTTTAGTGCGGCGACGACTTCGACAGGTACACCTATCGGCACTATCGACACGATTTTGGAGAACGGCAAGTATACCGTTGGAAAGAGCGTTTAAAATGCAACCTTCTCAACGGCTTGAAGCAATTCTATCAAGCTTCTTTAGGCTGCGAGCGCGGTTAGAAAAAAACGTCTCGAAATCATCCGCCGTGTTCAACAACCTCGAAGAAATGCTACCAAACGACCCCCAAATGAGTTGCAATCGAATTGGCGCCGAGTTGTGCGAACTGCTCGAAAATGATGTTCATCTCCTGATTCGATCAAAATAGCCTATTTCATATATTGCGGTCATTGGCAAAAAGCACCCCATAATAGCACTCCACAGAGCACTCCCAAACGGCACCCTGGGTAAGTGCCTGAAAGCACCCCGGGTAAGCTTTCTGAGCACCCTAAGGGGGCTGGGTGTGTTTGAGCACCCCACTGGGGGCGGGTGCTTTTCCAGAGCACCCTCTCTCGGCCGGGGTAGCGTTAGTTTCCACCCCGGGTGCTTTTTGGGGCACCCTGGGTGATTTGTGAAAGCACCCCGGGTGCTTTTAGAGCACCCCGGGGTGAAAAATAAAAGCACCCTGGGTGGGAAGTAGCACCCCGGGGTGCTCTCTTGGGTGCTGTCCAACA